GTACAAACTTCAGCATATTTATTTGCGAATTGAGAAATATTTAGGTACATACATACATTCAAAGCTAAAATAATGCAATTGCTGCTAAATTACAAAGGTGACGGCCTATGTAATCAATTCATTGATCTTGAGTAGTTTTCCTGAACGCGTATTTTCCATCTGAAGCAATTTCTTTCAGATAGGTTTCGGAAAGGTGAGAAAACATATATTTAATACTTGCGCCGGGTATTTAATATTCGGCTGCGCCCGAACTTAGACTTTTTTACTTGTTAGTTTAAAAATTGCACGACCGCAAGCGTTCGCATCTTGAAAATGAAGATCCTTGAAGCGATGATCGAGGATAGTTCCTAAAGCTGCGTAGGTGTCATGATGCAATAATACAAGGTGTTATCATTTGGCAACTTCTCGCTCTAATTCCGCCATATTGACTGCCTTACGTGTTACAATGTTACTTCTTTAACTATTCTTTGCCCATTAATATAGTTGAATGTTTTTTATTTTTGCTCAGTATACACACTTTGTTTTCTTAAAAAGGTATTTTATCGTATTTTATTTCATTTCGTATCGAATATACTATAAAAAAGCAAATTTTGTTTAGGAGAAAATGTGAAATTTTATATTTTTCCCCCATATGGGGATTCATTTCTTCCCGTTTTTCTTCTCATTCTACTGAGCTAAGGCAGTGTCAAACCGAGCTGTCACAACTGATACCACCTTGTATTATTGCATCATGCGTAGGTGTTGTATTCAATGAGACCAAATCTTTTACTACACTCCGCCAGGAGTTTCGTTTGTAGTTGGGAGACACAATCAGGAGTTGTAGAAAATTTACTCACTTGGGATGTTAGTTAATGGTTAGCTATTGGTATGATCTTGGAAAGTGTGACATAATTCTGTCCTGAAGATTCGTTGGTTACGAACTCGAAAGCTTCAGTAGCTGAACTATTTGATTCAGCATTTCTATTTCATTTTTTGCTATCATTTCAGGGCTGTCTCTAGCATCAAGTATAAGTTAAGACAAAATTTTGGACATATCCAAAAATCTTTCCAGCATGTAAAAGAGTGAATTCCAGCGCGTTCTAACGTCTAGGATGAATTTCTTGGTGGATCCTTCCGGAACTCTTGCTCGATCCAATTTGCAGTTTCTTTCGCTACGAAAGAAATAGAACGCGCACCCTTTTTCGTAGAATTGTAAAAGTTGGCGCCTCGCCGACGTTGGCGCATTCTTGCGGTTTTCATTGGCAACTAAGGCTGTGTGCGAGTTGACCTACATTTTAGTACCTAAACCAATATTCCACTCGAAATTTATAGCACTGCTACAATTTAGGAAATAATAATAATATAATAGAATGGCGCTTACACATATGTTAGTGTTTGGCCGAGCTTCTCCTCCAATTTGTGGCGTGCGCCTTGATGTTATCACACAAAGCGGAGGGACCTACAGTTTTACGCCGACTCCGAACGGCGATTGTATTTTTATGAGAAGCTGTTTTTCATGGCAGAAATACACTCGGAGGTTTGCCATTGCCTGCCGAGGGACGACCGCTGTTAAGAAAAAACGTTTTTTCTATATTTTTTGCGATGTTGCTTTGACCAGGGTTTGAACCCAGGTGCTGCGGAGTGGAAGCGCGCACTGCTTACCACTACACCACAGCGGCCGACAATTTAGGAAAACAGCTGCTAAAACTGTGCGAGTTCGTTTGACAACCTAAATTGTTTGTTTTGGAATTTGAATTTGTTTCCTTTAAATAAATATATCTATAAAATTAATAATTTTGTGGTAGCTTTGGGACTATTTAACAATATAATAAATTTGCAACAGAAACGGAGAATGCTCCATCCTGGCATCTATAAAAGAATCCGTTTCCTCTTCTGACCCTGCGAAATAATATACATCCATCGAATTACACATAACTTATCTGAATGCGAAAATCAAATAAATTTATTTACAATCTTTCTGAATATTTTCTTTTATGTGCCATAGCAATGATACAAATTATTTCAAACATCAAAAAATCGTTGTTCACTTAATCGCTCGCTCAAATATATTTGACTGTTCAATTTAGGTTGAAAAGTATGCTCGCAGAAAGTCTAAATTGTTCCTATTCACTGCGTTACCGACACTTTCCAGTGATTTAGGATTTTTCTCTATTTAGGTAGCAATTTAGACGTACTCGCACACACCCCAAACTGCCAAAATTATTTAACTATTCCCAAAGAAATTAGATTAAAAAAATAAAAATACGGGAATAAAATTGTCAATGAATTGGGGTTTCGATACAAGTACTTTTTTCCGATACCTACTCAGTACTCGGTTCAAAAGTATCGAGTACAAAATTAGAACGGTATCGGACGAAAAGAATCGAGTATGTACTTGTATTTACTAGTATCGTTTCATCTCTAAATATATACAAGGAATCTGCAAATCAGCTGAGTGTTGTGTACAACATTTGTTGTCCAACTTAAGTCATCAAATAAGAAAACATTTGATAAAATTTCGCGGGATTGTTCAAACATTTATGTACTCACAAGAATGAGCCTGCCAGATAAGAAAAGGAATCGGCTTCCAAATTTTTCGATTGCCGAGGAAAATTTGCTAATAGCATTAGCTGAACAACATGCCAGTGTAATTGAAAATAAGAAGACGGACGCGACTTCATGGGAAGAAAAGCGTAAAGCGTGGGATATTATTGACGAAGAGTTTGAAGCACAGATGGGTATAAAGAGGGGCTCAAAACACCTTCGGGAAAAGTATGATAACCTAAAGCGTAAGGCCAGAAGGGACTTGGCAAGAGATGGACATTGCATGGACGCTAATATGGAAAGGCTTGCATTACTAATGGGTCTATCGACAAATTGGCATAATCGTGTCGCCGGTGATGGTAAGATTTTTGTTTCGCTATGTGCAGTAAATAGTATACTTTTTCAACAATCCTTACATGTTACGCCAGAAACTTTCTTTGAGGATTCCATGTACAGCAGCACAACGGAGGACGTAGCAGACGCCACTGAAGCAGTAGAAATTGTAAATAATATTAAATCGCATATATGTATGTTCATAAATTTTCAACAATATAAACATTAATTTTTAGGACATGAAATGCGATCCAACTTCTTGCGACCCAATATTTCTGGAAAAGAAATCAGATAACATAACACACAACACAAAATACAAAAAAAGGCGAGTGAAGCGTGATTCGCAACAAATTTTCTGGGAAAATGAAGAAAAACGAGCAGCTGAAAGACATACATGGGCTTTAAAAAAGCATGAGTTAGAAATCAGGGAGGCTGAAGTAAAAACAGATCTTTTAAATATAGAGCTAGAGTGCGCAAAGCAAAAACTATTAAGCACAAACTGTACTTTGTAATGTACGATAATTAATACATATCTGATCAGTGACCATTCATGCATGTACTCATGTAAATATGTATAACTACCACATTTGAATCGATTAATTACCAAAGGGAATGAGTCCAAATTTTTTCGACATGATAATTTTGATGCAGTTCGGTCCGTTAAAAAGAGCTTTGTTAAACTGCATGTTGTTGTTGTTGGTGTTGTTGTTGTTGTAGCGGCTACAACAACCCCGCCCAGCATGATAAAAACATAACAAGGTAAAACCATTGAGAGGTAGTCTGACGTTTGCCAACAATATAATTTTAAAATCAAAACTCAAACTCACACACCCATTCTCATTTTCAATCTCAAACAACAACAATTGTGAACAATTTAATTTTTTTATTTTCAATTTTATATGATTTTAAAATGTTGGCAAACGTCAGAAAAAAATCATGGCCGACGAAATGAGAGAACGAATTTACCTTGTAATGTTTTTATCATGCCGCCCAGGACGGTTGGTATCTCAGTCGTTGTCGTCAAGTTACGCTAACGGCAACCCTAGGAAGCTTGCAGCTTCTGTGGGGTTTGGCCACAGGGACAAGGCCGTTAGGGTTGTAGGGTTTCCCGGGCATGCGAAGAGATGTTTCGAGTCATGTGGGGTCTCTCCGCATGCCGGACACTCATTCGGCACATCCTCATTCAACCTACTCAGGTAGGAGTTCAACCTGCTGCAGTAGCCGGAGCGAAGTTGTGCAAGTGTTGTGCGTGTCTCCCGAGGCAGATGAAGCTCCGTCTCGTCTATGTCCGGGGGTGGTATGCCTAGAACGGCATTCACAGGTCTAGAGTCTACATAACTCGAGACTGAGTCCCTGTGAATGCCGTTCAGGGCCTGTCGGTAAGCTGTAGGGCCAGAGGTTGCTTAATGAACCTCTGGACTTCGTCCGTCAGTTCATATAGATGCCTCCTGACGTGCCTAGGCGAGGGCTCCTCTGCAAGCAGCTGTCTGCTTGGGTGGCAACTTCTGTGGCTCCCGATCAGGAACTGCTTGCAGAGCATTATATTGTGCTCCTTTACAGGGAGCATATGCGCCTCGCCGTGTAGGTGGTGTTCGGGCGAGATCAGGAGGCATCCTGTCGCTGTCCTGAGTGCGGTGTTCTGTACAGTCTGTAGCTTCGTCCACTGCGTGCCTGGCGACCACACTGGTGCTGCGTAGTTCAAAACCTGCCGGCCTATTGCCTTGTATGTTGCCAGCAACGTTTCTTTGTCTTTGCCCGAAGTACTGCCGGCTAGCGACTGGAGGACCTTATTGCGGCTCTGTACATTATTGACAATAGCGGTTGAGTGCGCAGAGAAAGAGAGCAGGCTGTCGAATGTTACTCCGAGTATTTTGGGGTTATTCACCGTCGGAATTGGTGTGTCATCGACGTGAATCCCCAGCGGTAGCCTGACCTCCTTCGTCCAGGTTGTGAACAGGGTCGCGGAGGATTTCGTAGGGGAGAGGGCTAGACACTTTGCAGTGAAGAAGCGAGAAAGTTCGGGGAGATACCCGTTTACTTTCGAACACAGGTCATCAATTCCATTCCCAGTCGCCATGATCGAGCAATCGTCGGCATAAGAGACAATCGAGACTCTTTCTGGTGGTTGAGGGAGCTTTGAAATGTAAACGTTAAACAGTAGCGGGGAAAGGACACCACCCTGAGGAACCCCCTGTTTTATTTTTCGCTGTTTACTCGTTTTGTCTCTAAACATTACCGACGAATGTCGACCACTCAGATAATTTGCCGACCACCGTTTGAGCCTCTGTGGGAGAGAGGAGGCCTCTATATCTTCTAGTAGCGTGGAATAGCAGACGGTGTCAAACGCCTTTGACAAGTCCAACGCTACTAGAATCGTTCTCTCACAGGGACGGTTTCGGTTAAGGCCACGAGTTATCTGAGTGTTTATGGCGTTAAGTGCTGTTGTTGTACTGTGCACTTTACGGAAACCATGCTGATGCTTCGCTGGGGTCAGGTGGTTTGTGAAGTACTTGAGTAGCAAGGCCTCGAGTGTCTTCGCTACCGGGGAAAGGAGTGTTATCGGACGATAAGAATCTCCTTTGTTGGCAGGTTTCCCCGGTTTGAGCAGTGGGACCACTCTCCCCACCTTCCAGATGTCTGGGATGATGAGAGTGGCCATTGACAAGTTGAGGACCTCCGTTAGGTACGCTACCCCCGCAGGACCCAAATTTTTCAGCATCAGCATGCATATTCCGTCGGGACCCATCGCTTTGGAGGCTTTCGCCTTCCCGATGGCCACCTGAACTTCACCGCAGGATGCAGTATGAACTGCCGGCTAAAATAGCTCGCGCATCGCTCCGGGTCCGACGAGGCATGGTCGCCGAAGGAAATTTCGACTCGGTCGACGTGCTTCGTCGGATTAGACAGTGACCTCACGGTTGACCAAAGCTTGCTCACACCAGAGGTGAAATTACAGGTCTTCAGATGCTCCTCCCACTTCTTCCGCTTATGTACGTTTACTAGTTGCCGAATCTCCGCGTTGAGATCCCTGATACGGGGATCTCCGGGATCGGCCTGACGAAGGCTATCACGCTCATCGGCTAGGACAGCCGCTTCGGCAGGGAAGTTTGGACGTGGGTCCGATATACATCCTGCCGGTATGAAGCGAGCTGCAGCAGCAGTGACAGCCCTGCAGAACTTACGTTCACCGAGATGGACGTCGGTTGGTGTGGGGAGCGCTGTGAAGGTGTTTTCGGTAAACTCCGCGCAACCTTTGCAATCAGCTTTAGAAAAGTTGATATAGGTCCGGTGTTTGGCGGAGGCAAAGTCGGTTGGTTTATATATCGAGATGACTATGGGTAGGTGGTCTGATGCTAGAGTCAGCATAGGTCGCCATGTTATGCTGTTTATCAGACCAGCGCTGACTATTGTGATGTCTGGCGGGCTACTGCAGTTACCCATAATCCTGGTGGGTGCGTCGTCGTTCATTGTGCAGAATGTCGAATCGTCTATCTGCTCAGCCAAGTCTGTTTCCCTACGATCGTTTGACAGGCTTGAGTGCCAAAGATCGTGGTGCGCATTAAAGTCACCTACTACCATACGGTTTTCACCTCTGAGGAGCGCACCTATATCAGGGTGATATCCTGCCGGGCAGCAGGTGACAGGGGGTATGTATATGTTAAATATTTCGAGCTCGACATCGCCTGACCGGAAAGCGATGCCCTGACATTCTAGGGTGGTATCCCTGCGGTCGATGTCTGCTTCGATTAGACGATACTGCACGGTGTGGTGCGTGATGAACGCTAAGCCACCACCATTATCTCGCTCGCGATCTCGATCAACGTGCACGTTGTACCCGGCGCAATTCAACAAAGTTGAATTGCTGTGCAACTTCGTCTCTTGGACCGCAGCTATCAATATACCGTGCCGACACATGAAGACGGTTATCTCCTCAATCTTGCTCTGTAGCCCGTTGCAGTTAAATTGAAGGAGCTTCATGTGGTTCGGGAGACGTGTCGGGATGTGGGGTGTAAGCGATGTGTGTGTTCTTGCCGCCGTTGGCTGTGTGTGCTGCTGTGATGATTGCCGCCCTGTGGTGGTGGCGGGGGGCGTCGCAATTGGGGTCTGCGACCGAGCAGCGCAACACGGGCCCTCGAAGTTCCCAGTCCGATCTCGCGCTGTACGCAGACCTGAGCATGCCCTAAAGTGGCACCAGCCAAGGCAGGTGTTGCACTTGACTGATGTCACATTACGGAATATCCTGGTCTGACATACCGTGCAGATTGTAGGGGGAACCAGGAGTTGTTGGCGGCGGCGTGTGGGTGGTGGTGCGGTTGTGTGTGTTATGTGGTCTGTCGTGGCTGTGGTACGGTATGTGGTGTTATTATGTTGTTGTGTTGTGGTGACTGTGTGAGGATGCTCGGGCGGACTGTGGCTAGCCGTGGAGGCTGCTCTGTTTGAGCAACAGGGGGCCACGTACGACGTGGTCCACTGTCTATGTGTCCGTAGTCCCGAGCAGACTCTGAGGTGACTCCACCCCTCGCAGGCATTACACTTGACTGAGGTGGAGTTGTGGTGTAATCGTCTCCGGCATACACAGCAGGTGTAGGTTTCTGGCCCTGGGTTTGACTCGATGCCAGCCCTGAGTAGAAGAATACGTAGTGAATGTAGCCCTATGGACGGACAACTTCTGAGATACTTCGCCGACCTAAACGGGGTTAGATCGCCGAAACAACAGCCCTTGGTCGGGTAAAACCAGAGTCATTCCGGTACGTAGAACCGGCTGTCGTGGGAATGGGAATGTTAAACTGCATCAATCAGCCCTATTCTGCATTTCGATTACGTTACCGCATTCCTCTCCGCTGGAATCGAACTTAGGTATTCTGCGTTACGATCGAAACGAATGAAGAATAGGAAGAGGGAAAACATCTTTCGAAATCAGCTGTTTGCCTAGGAATGTGTGGTATCGAAACAAAACAAAGAAATATTTGCCACCAAACTATAGCAGCATATGAAGTTAAAGTTTGTAAATATTTTAAAATATGTAACTAAATATACCTAGCATCACTGTAATTTAAAAATAAAATTTAAGTGGATACATAAGTTGCGTTCGATAACAAAATTAGCCAACACCAGCCAACAATCAAAATCAAGAGAGTAAGCGAAAATTCTCTCCCAAAGAGATGAAAAAGCTTTATTTGTAAACAAACTGAAATTCATGTTGCCTCCATAGAGAAAAAAGGAAAGTGAACGTTCAATGTTCGCCAGGAACATTTCTAGAAGTAAAAACTAGTTGGCGCTATCATAAAGTCACATAGCAGGCAGCCAAAAAACATATAAATACCAAAACTCGGAAAATGCAATTTTGTTTGTTTACAGAAATTGCAACCATATGTTTTGTGATCATATGTTTTCGTGTTGGATAATTTTTGCTGACTAAAATTTTGCCAGTACAAAATAAACGCTTGCTCTCTCAATTTTTGTGTGTTGGATAATTTTTTGTCGTTATCGAACGCCATCCAGTAAAAATTTGGAAAAACTATTACAAATTTTTGACTTGTCGAACGCACCTATAATTATAAGAATGAAATCTATAGCCTGTTTTACGTTTTGCGTTATCTTTATTTGGTCGTCTAGTCACTTAGACCAGACATGGGCACTTTTGCCCGTATGGGCTTTTTTGCCCGTATGGGCTTTTTTGCCCGTACGGGCAAGCGAGCCCATTTCGAGGGCTGGATCAGGGGAAAATCATGGGCAAACGGGAAGGCGGCAACAAATCTTACTAATACACGTATAGCAATGAGAGCCACTGCACACGCATTCTGGAGTAAAAGCCCTGCAAAAATTGCGCGACTAATCGCTAAAGAGAGTATTCCGAGATTACTCTCAATCGGGTACAATTGGGCATTAATTAGTCGCAACTAGTCTCATACGGGTACTAATGGAGATCAATTAGTCTCGACTCATCCCTTGTGGGTATAATTGGAGATCAATTAGTCCCCAACTCATCTCTAACGGGTACTATTATTGATTTAATGATATGTACGCACTTAGTCAATGAAATTTCATGTGCGGCGTTGGCACGCACCTAACAAAACTGAGCACCCCGGTTCGAATCTCGGCTGGCGCAAATTTTTATTTTTTAAACGTGACTAGTCGCTTTTTATACCCGTTCGGGTATAAAGGTGAACAATTAGTCTCTTCATAGGACATGCTCGAACAAAAGCGAACAGTTCATTCCATATAAAGAGATCAAAAGTGGTATTAGTCGCATGCTCCTTTGCGATTGCTCCCGGAGTCATCCCGGATTAGTCCCATTTTTTGCAGGGTAGGAACAGCTAAGCGAGCCCTAGGCACGCACTTAAACGAACATGAAGCAGATATAAAGAAACAAAAAACAGTACAGCGCTTCCACAACACATGCGAACTACTGGGCACTCAGCAGATTTAGCAAACACCAAAATAATCGACATAGAAAAACGAGAAAAGACCAGATATAAATTAGAAAGCTTAAGGATTTTGCAAAAAAGGGAAAACACAATAAACAAAAAAGAAGACACCGATGACATTTCTGCCCCCTACTTGTTATTCTTATAAAATTCAAATCTAATTTTAGTTTAGACAAAACTATCGCAGAAGATGGTATCGATTTTCATAAATGTAGTTAATTTAATGACGAATTGTTTGTGAGTACTTTTGTGTTTAATATCTTAGTTGTTCTACCGTGAGTTTTATATGTAATTATGAATATATGTATATATGTTTATTTGTTCCTTTATTTAATATCATACATATATTTATCACCCGTATGCTGTAATTCGAAAGTTCGTAGTTACGAATTCGTAGCTCCGTTCCGAAAATTCGGAAATTGGTATGCTGTTAGCCGATCGTAACTATCAACGGCGTTGCCAACTAAAATAGTGAAATTCGAAGTTCTTAACCAGCTGCTTTGACAGAAGCAAATCAAAATAAATATAATCGCAAGTGAATAGGGAAATTAAAAAATTAGTTTAATCATTATTTGCAAATACTTTTCCTTAATTAAGTAAAATACAAAGGATTCAGTGGCCGGTGCACCTTTGTCCCAGGAGGAAGAACAGCTAACAGTTGCATTAATATACAAAGGAGATTGCTAGGAGATCGTTCTGATCCATTTAGCTTAAATGATATAATGTAAGCTCCCTTCTTTAAGGGCCTCCATTTCACTAGATATTGTGCCGCTTTAATTCTTGAAACGCTTTCCCAAAATTCCCCCACCTCCTCTTTAGCTCTTTTTACAAAGCCTCGACCAATGTCCGGCCTTTCGCTCATGCATTCCACCAGTTTTTCGTATTGCGAGTGATTTGTTGTGATCTTCGATCTGTTAATTTTGTAAACATTTAGCAATATTTTTTTTTCTATTCACACTTCAACTTACATACATATTTTTGCGTTTACACACTTTATTTTATAGATATTGGCTGCATTCCTTTATTCATTCTGAACGTTTGGAATACACTTTTTTGTTTATTTATTCTTTAGAACGTTCCTGATGATATGTTGACGTATATTTCAAACGCATTCTGTTTATTCCGGCTGTGAAATGGGATTATCCGGAATGTATAAAGAAACGCAGCCATTTTAAAACAATTTGTTTCGCTCCGACACGTGTTGCCATTCGTACAAAATTTCCGACAAATAAATAAAAATTACAGCTACGTCGGAATCAGGCATACCAACATTACGAATTTCGAAGATGGCCTAAGAATTTCGAAATTACGATACGACAACGCGGATTTCAGCGTAACAATTTTACGTTTCGTAGCCAAATCGAATCTACGACAGATTACCGCATAGGGGTGTATATTTTTTGTAACAGATAGTTAAATAAACACGCCCCTGAAGATGCTAAGAAGATTAGCGAAACGTTGGACCGTAAGTGAAATAACCTCGTTTTATTTACACTAAATAAATAGATCAGACAAGACAATTTGTTCATTTGCGCATTAATGAATGGGCATTTTCTACAACAAAAAACCACATTGCTTGCTGCGACGTCGACACATGTATAACATGATCGTCTTACGATAATTGACGATTGACTGATGCTCTGCTACACAGTATACCAGTAGAAAAGGTTTTTGTTTTTGTAGCTGTTTCGTGGTGAAAGTCCTTTATGGGGGCCAAATTTCCTCACAAGGAATTGAGCGGATGGTTGCTTTTGCATTCCAAAAGAACAAATATTAGAAAACATTTAAAAAAAGTCTAAGGTAATACAATTATATGCAACTAAAAATAATCACAATAATTTGCACTTATGAGTTAATGTGATAATCATGTGTAAAAACTATTTTCAACTATTATTTTTCACAAAATAATTTTGCGGATCAGTTTGCTCTGAGCGCCTGTGTTGTTGACCAAGAAAATGCAGCCCTGTTGGTTTTTATTTCTGTATCGCATCGCGGTGAGTTTCTATTTCTTGGTAATTCGGTTTGTGAAATGGTAAACAAATTATTGAAATTTATTTATTTGATGTGTATAAGATTTAATTAATGCATTTTTTTGTATTTTCAGACTATTAATTACAAGCACAGCATCATCAACGGTGATTGCAAGAACTAATGGTGGTCTCCCGATCGGCCGGGAATAAGGTTGTCATTTTCAATTTTATATCTTTGTTCATCGACATTATATGACATGTCATCATTGCAGGCTATTGTTGTAGAACAAAACGCCACAACCACCGCTGTGGTAAATATGTTCCAGCAGTACTGCCCACCGCCGTCGGTGTAATGATTTCGATAGCTGAACAAACGCCATCTCCTGGGGATTCCCACATGCCGACAATAGCTATTATATCACGTGTGAATGCAACTGCGGCTAAATTTGGTTATTAACAGTGCAATAGTGCCATGTCATTGGCAAAAACACTAAGGGATGCTGGCACATAGAGGTTGTAAAGTTTTTGGAATCGATGAACTTACTCGAAGAAGATGATGGTCGAAAACATATGATAAAACATCTTCTGGCGTGCCTTTGACAATCGTTAAGTTAGACGGAGGCTTCACATACGATATTTCACACATGGCTGGAAATCGTTAGCGGACAGAGCACACATTTACAAAATATTTATCGTTCTGCAGAACGTGTATGCATATTCGATTCCGATTTTATGGGTCGATTACGGAGGACAACCGAACTTCAGTGGGTTGGCCAGTGGCTGAAATGGTATTACCGATGGCAACTAGCAACTGAAAGCTGGTAACTGAGTTGCTATATTGGCGCGAACTAATCAAGGCTGTCATAGAATCTATCGTAGTCCGATTTTCCGTGAAATGTACGAAAATGCAATTAAATTCGAGTAGCTACGAACGCAGTGCTTGCTTTGAATACACATGTTCATAGCAGTTCAGATTCAGTGATCGCTTTTTTGTAGATTTTATGAGAAATCGGACTACGATGGATTCCGCCACCAATATATTTTCTCCTTTGACAAGATGTTGGAGAATCGCGGCAGCACAGCCCTATACCTACCCTATGCTCTTACGTGCATATGCTAAATTTCTCGTACCTAGCTAAAGTGCTTAACAAAGGCAGAAGGCTTATCTTCAACATTATAACTTAAAGTAAAAGAGTTAAAGATATGCAATAAAAGAATACAACAGAACCAAAAAATCTCAAAACTATTAACATAAAAAATTGCACGAATAAAATTCATAATTTAAAATAAAATAAAATATCGCAATTGTTTTTTATATGTACATACATATTTACAAAATGAATCTTAAAGCACCCACAGTAAGTCCTAAACATATAAACGACTAATAAGAAAAATAATAAATAACAGTAATGTGAAAAAGTATGTCGAGAAATCTCTAAATAGTAGCGAAACTGTATCTGAACAATAACAAGTAATTTTGAGCAAAAAATACAACCGACTTTAATGCTCATTCAGGTCGTTCTGGTTACGTAGATCCGACTGTCCTCCCTTTTTTTAAAAAGGTTAAATGAATACGTATTCTACAGAAATCAAGATACATATTTAAGGACTTTAAGTAAAACTAAACAAAGGAAAACTTGTTCGTGATATCTCGAGGTGTATCCATGATACAAAAATCTGAAGGTAAAACCGCTGAGAGGCAGCCTGAACATTTTTGAAGTTTGCTAACATTACAAAAATGTTTTCAAATTTCCAATCTCACAAATACATTCTCATTTTCAGTCTCAAATAAATGAAAATTTCAATATTTTCATCTATTTGTTTTTTGTTTTACTTTTATTTGACATTTGAGTTGCTCTCAAAATTTCAATTTTATAAAATAGACAAACTTCAAAAAATAAATGATGGCCGACGAATTGAGCAAGCGCTTTTACCTTTAAATATTTGTATCATGGGTGTATTAAACAAGGTGTTATTGACAACTCAGTGCGGCTCTCTTAATATTATGTAAAAAATATAAACAAACGATTCAAAATGCATAAAATTTTTTTTTTCAATTTGACTATAGGATGGTTCTTCTGAGAGCAATATCAAATTCAATCGCACTTTGTTAAATACATTTTGATCTGTACCAAGTAAATACTTCCTCTGTAAATATTCTATGAAGTGTTCCAAAATTTGCTCCGAGCGCGTTCATAGTTGATCATTTGATTTAAATAGTTTGTCATACAATTAATACTATAGTTTGATCGGAGTTAATATATTCTTCAGTAACTAATTATATTATATTAAAACATAAGCTTATAAGAAATTTTTTAGTCTTAACATTTATATCGTGTTCCAAAATTCGCTCCGAGCGCGTTCACTATTGATTCAAATATTGTTTGTCAAGCATTCAGTAGTGAAGTTTGTTCGGAGTTTATATATTCTTCAGTAATTAATCATATTACATTGAAATATAAACGTATAATATGGTAGAAAGTTAAAAATTATTTAGTCTTAATATGCATATTTCGCTCCGTGTTCCAAAATTCACTCCGAGTGCGTTCACTATAGATGATTTGATTTAAATAATTATTTGTCAAGCATTCAGTACTATAGTTTGATCGGAATATATATATTCTTAAATAATTTATCACATTTTATTAAAATATAAACATTTAATAGGGTCCAAATTGTGAAATTATTTGGCTTTAACATGTATAGTCGGCCAGAGACAATTGCAGAAAACTGCAGAAAACTACTCGTGAAAACTTACAATAAAAACAATGTAGATGAAAGTAATAAATTTTATTATTAAAATTAGATCCATATATAAAACATTTTACATCATTTATTTGAAGTAAATCGGAATATATTTTTACATATAAGATAGTTTCCATTTAACTCATAAAGTACATATTTCACTACAAATATTTTTAAGATCATTTCGAATTGCAAAAATAGCGCTAATTAGTTGTATTGAAGTATGAAACATTTTACTACGTTCATGCTTACTTATAAAGCGCATAACAATATTTCTCTCGCCATTTATCCGATGTTAAAATTTTTCACCACATTATTTTGCTGCACAGCACCCTGAATGCGGCAAAATAAATGCTCGCAACCCTCAAGTCCTTTATGGGGACCAAATTAACAGCCACAACAACAAAAACCTTTTCTACTGGTATACTGTGAGCCACCCGCGATGCAGATTCGTTGTTGTCTCGTCAACGACTAAACGATAGAGCGTAAGAATCAGTGTTTCCACGCCGTCTCATGAAAATGTATCACTGACCAAGCCAAAAAAGTATCCAAATGTATCCAATTTTCTTTTTTTACGTATATATCTCATAATTAGTAAGAAAATTTCAAGAAAAATACATAATTTAACCCATCCTAAGGATTTGGAATACATGTATATATATTTTTATTTTTCATTAAATCAAACATTTGTAATTTCAATTTATAAAGTACACTTTTTGTGCATAAGTATTTTAAAGTAAGTATAATAAATAGTAAGTACACTCTAGAAAGAGCATGTAAAACTACTACTGAAAAATATATATTTTTCAACAAGAATCTGTATAAATATACGTATAAGATGTTCAGGATTTGATTTTGAACTTGAGATCTTTAAACTATACACATAAATACACATATAAAATGTTTAAAACTGCAAAAATTTTCAAACAAAAAATACATTTCCTACTAATAATGAACTATAAGGGCTCACATTTACTCTATTTTAAACATTTTATGTGCAATCTTGTTCTTCGCGACAAATTTGGTATGTAAAAGTAAACGGGCAATGTTTAATTTTACTACACGTGTGCAAATTTTCACACATAAAAAGAGTAAACTGGTTACCTCTCTTTATATGCGCAAATAAACAAAAGTTTTTAGAGTGTATTTAAAGCCTTTTCAGTAAAATTCATAGAAATTTCCTTAAATAAATCAAATTTAGTTTTTAACAGTGTATTTTAAACTACATTGAGATCTTCTTTCTTTTTAAATTAAAAAATGAAAATATGTGATATGAAAGAGATTACTACAGAAAAAGTATATATTTGCTTTATATATATGTATATTGAGATCTTGCTTAAAGCATCCTTTTTAGCTAACTAAAACAATTACGCTTATACCTATATTGGTGAGATATCTTCATATGTTCATTGCTTCGTTCACAAAAAATAAAATGCTTTTATTTCACGCTTAAGTAGCGATTTTTAATACATTTAGAAGACGTAATGCTTTCTACCATATTTAATGACAACCGATTTTTGAACGAAAAAAACTTTATAGAAAATATAAAATTTTGGCCTATTTAAAAAAGTATACACATTAATACTGATCGTATCACGCAAAAATTCGTCTGAAAGTGTATCCAATTGGATCTATTTAGACCCAAACGGCATCCCTGGTAAGAATACGTGTGAATTGAGCATGGATAATTGTTCTATGGCGTACCGGTCATTGCATTAAACACAACTATTGACTGTTCAACATTGGAACTGATGTCAAGTAAGTTGATTGATTGGTGTTTACACCCTTTAGAAACACAAATTATATGCTTATTTATTACTGCAGACAAGTTGTTGCCAAAAATCAAAAATCTTCCAATAACTTACAAATATAAAAATGTAAAATATCGAGGCCTTATATTCGATAATACAGCGCGGACGGGGGCCGTCGCGAAGCTACGAAAATTTAATGTTTGAAAGAGCAATTAGTAGGAGATCCGACAAAGGGACGACCTTCACACATCTGTTTAATGGATGAAATCTACTTTATACTCAGAGAAAAATCAACCAAAAATGAGTTAATATTACCAAATTCAAACCTGAAAATGAATCAACTTGATTTTTGGTTAATATTAACAATGCCTTGGTTGATATTTTCAACAATGATTTGATAATATTAACCACAATTTTGTTTACATTAACTAAACTTTTGGTTGGAGATTTTTCGTTTGAATAATTTTATGTTCTGCACTACACTGATGCTTTTTATAATTCGGAGATACAAAACAAAAATTTTTATTATCATTTGAACATGCTGCCTCTGACGGCAATAGCAAATAACAGCAAGCATCTCTACACACTCAGCTACAGCCGCTTTATAAATGTGTCTTCAAATGTTCAACTTGCATCAATTTTCTTCGTCGTTTAATTTGGTTCTGCACTTCACAGAGGCTTTTTCGTAACTAAAAAAAAACTAAAAGCAGAAAAAAATAAAAGTTATGTATCGCGCTGACGGCATTCGTACTGCTGGAAGCCTACAAATAACAGCAAGCCCTCTGCTCGTTCAGCCACTGCCATACATACGAATTTGTTCTCAAATGTTCAACTTGAATCACATTTCTTACAATCGGCTTATTGACCATGAAAAAATCAAACCATAACTTGGTTGAAAAAACCGTTGTGCTTTTGGCTCAGCGTATCTGAAATTTAACGTGTAAAGAAATATTTCGCGAGTGGGTTGGCTGAAAAAATCCTGGCCAGGATATTTTTAATTAAATATTCATATTATATATACACCAATCGAAAGCATAAAGCCTATGGAATGTGTTAAACAGATGAGTGAAAATTATTAGTATTACCTATCTGTTCATACCTGGCAACCCGATAGGTAGGTCAGGAAAAGATAGACAACCCAACGTTTTCACATTCTATAGACTTATTACCTTCGATTGGTATATAATTCGTTCATTAAACAAAATTAAAAAAATAATAGTAATTTTTTAATATTGAATTAATAATATCCTGGCCAGGATTTTTTCAGCCAACCCATCCGCAAAATAATTAGCACGTTACATTCCTTGGAAAAAAATATTTCATCTGTTAAACAGATGGGTGAAGGTCGTGCCTTTGTTGGATCTAAGACCAAATAATACCATACATACATACATACGAATTTGTTCTCAAATTTTCAATTTGAATCACATTTATTGACCGTGAAAAAATCAAACCATAACTTGGTTGAAAAAACCGTTGTGCTTTTGGCTCAGTGCATCTGAAATTTAACGTGTAAAGAAATATTTCGCGAGTGGGTTGGCTGAAAAAAATCCTGGGCAGGATATTTTTAATTAAATATTCAAAAATTTTTATTATTTTTTTTTGCACTCATTTGTTTAATGAACAAATTATATATATACCAATCGAAAGCATAAAGTCTATGGAATGTGTTAAACAGACAAATGAAAATTATTAGTATTACCTATCTGTTCATACCTGCCAACCCGATCGGTAGGTCAGGAAAAAGATAGACA